GTAGCATGCCTAAATAAATTTTCAGTAGAGTATGTAATTAATCCCTTTGTGTGTGGCCCGCCTTAATTGTAAAGATATTTTAGATAGATACGAGTATGAAATTTCATCCATTAGGAGTAGGCTAGACGGTCCTCACACAACTGACAGACAGACAACGTTATCGAAAGGTGTAATTAATATTAGATCAGTTACATGCCGCGCCCTAATCAATCGACTAATTGTTATAATTAATTTGATTCGACGCCATACAAGCCCGCCGTGCCAACTTTGATGACCCTGTAATTAAAGTTATCGATATTAGAGCTAAATAAGTGATTAATATTCTCACTAATTAGCTGGCTGGACGTGACATGCATGCATGATAGCCGTAATTAGGTGTTTGATCAATTACTTATGTTATTTAAGACTGTTTACATAGGAAATATACCTATTGCCTATAGGTAATTTACACGAACACGCACATAACAAAATATTTTCTTGTTTGCTTATGAAAACCACATGAACACGTTTAAGTCACAATTTGCTTAATTAGGTACCGTTATTGCTAATTTAAAACAATTATATTAATTATGTGTAGTAGTAATCGAATGGTGTAGTTATTCTGGTGTCTTTATGTCGAGTAATTAATTAAATAATATGTTTTATTGGAACCCAATTTGTAGTAGGTACCTACTTAAAATTTGCAGTGGTGAGAATGAATTAATCTTTAGATCCCGCAGTCTGTCGACGAGAAGTTTTTCGAAATGGAGTAGTGAACCCATGCCAGGGTGACCAGCAGACAGTATCGTCTTATTTTTTTTAGTTAAACCGCCATCTCCATACTTCAATAATAAACAGTTTATCATCATGTGCGAAATATTCCAGCAACAGCTCAATTCTTTGCCGACGTGAGTCCGAACTCCGACTGACAGGTCGCGGCGCCCTTCATTTTCCGAGGGCGCGCCGCCCAGCGTCCGGACGTGTTTATTTTTCATTTCCGCCCCAAGCGGCCGGCCCGGGGCCTCCGCGGCACCAGGGCTCAGTTCGAGTTATGAGCGTGTCAGTGGTTCTATTTGACTGGCAATTGATAATATAGTAGATAGGTAAATTTGTTATGAAAATAACAGTTTTAAAATTAAAATTAAACTTCATTTTCTAATGGCATTTACCGATTAAGGTAAAAGTTCATGGCTACGCTGTACCAACTTTAACCGTAACCCTAGGCTTTTGACGTTTGTTATAGTTGTAAGATGATGCAGTCCATCCTTAACATAATTATAGCCAATTTTTCATCGTCAGATAATTTTAAAACTAAATTACCTACTTAAATTACAATATTGTAATTACTTTTCAGGTAAAACTTACCTCGCCGCTTACGTTCCGCCAGTGTGGCAAGGCCCTAAGCTCAACACTGTGGCATTTATTTTCGCAAAATCTTTATACCTATTTTTTTTATGTGACAGGAGGCAAAGGATTATTATTTTGGAATGAAGTTAAAATTAAATCAATTTGTGGTATATTATGTTAGAATACGTAAGTATGATTTTACAAGGAAAAAAATAGTCCGATATTATTATCATGTTAACATTGGTTCTCAAACGCGATTCTCTCCAAAATTGAACCGAGACCGTAACGTCAGTGCAACGAAGCTGACTGAAGAGCCATGTCCGTGTGGAATGGGCCGGAATAATATTTTTAATTAGCCGTAAATACGAGACACCTAAGTACAAAGCGAACGTGCAAATTAAAATTCTTCTTCCTCTTTCATTAAGACGCCTTTTTATTTTTGTTTAGTCTCTAAACGATGGGCTGTAATGTGCACGCTGAATAATTTTGCAGCTTATAAATCTAAGGAACATTTTAAAATGTTGGAGCATTTTTCAGTAAAATTTCACAAACTCACTGAAAGGAACTTCTAATAAATACCTAGATGACTAAGTGGAAATAGCCTATTATACTAGGAAAATTAAGAACTATTTTATGAAGAGCAAACTTAGGCTTGTATTATTTGGTTGAGAAATTCGGTCGTTTTCAGAGAAAAGCTTATTACAGGCCAAGTCGGACAAACAAGATACATCCAAGTCATTCACCAGCTTGTGAGCCCTTCATGGAAATCTCACACAAAGGCCACATTATCCTTGGATTTAGGTTGGTTATAAAACTAACAATAATAGAGGGATATTGTAATGGGCACCTCAGTACGTAGGTGCTAGGTACTTACCGGCTGTAACTTAAAATGCTAATGTCGGATCATGAAAGTTAACTAAGTAAGTAGTTGCGAATTTACATTTAAAACCTAACTTATTTACCTAAACCCGGAAAAAATAAGAACTTGTATTATATTGGAATAACAAACATTGTCGGTCTAGGCAAGTAGGTAATTCCTAGTACATAAATAAAATAAGTTAAAACTTAAGACAAATGAGTAGGTAAGTAAGTAAGTAGGTGCTTAATGAATTGTAAACTCATTCCGCGAATGGAATAAGTATGTAAGTAGAGTCAAGTCCCTACACTTCCTAACCTACCTAAAGGCGAACCTTATTTAGCACGTTTAAGTATTACGACCTGTAATGTCAATAACCCCTCATAATACCTACACCCTTAATACAAAACGATGTTACAGCAAAAATTACACCTCTTACATTACGTTAATACCGTACCTATCTCCAAACTTCTTCCATTATTTATGATTACTTCCTTTCAGTTACACGCGTCTGACGCATCCCCCGATGTGCAAGTCATTCTGGAACGCTAGATGATTCGAGCACCCGCTGGTGGTCGGGACGTGGTTTTACATGAATATGGCGGTTTGACATTTAAAAAAACTTTAAAAAATAGAAAAGTCAACGTTATGAAACTAGGATAAAAATTAAAGACTAAAAAATATTGGAAAGCTCGGTTAATGAAGTGTCGAGAAACACATCTACAACCTAGAATAATACCTAAGTACTAATGATAATCTTGATAGGCAGAATTTAATTTAGATCCAAAATAACAACATTCGTTATCCTATACTTGACAAGTGCCAATTTTTGTAAGCGGTACGGAACAACCGGGGCCAGATACGAAGATCTGTATAAAATTGCACGTTTTACCTAATTTACAGAAAACATTCCTACTAAGTAATTTAGTTAATTCATCAATCATTGAAAATCTAATACCTATTGCAAGTATTTATTAGGGTTTTATTGTTTGCATAAAAACTGCGACACTGCCAGACTACCGCGGGGCGTTTTCATAATCGCTATGCTTGTTGCTACCCGCGACTCTACACACCGCGGTTTAAAATAGGGATCCCTGAAAAGGGGAATACGCGAAACCCGCTGTACCCATAATGCAACAGCGTGGTGTAAATTGCAAACGTCCTCGTTTTCATCATGTGGTTATTTATTTGTGACTTTGTCAGGTTCTTTTTTTACTCTTTAGGAAAGGACGTTTCAATATGAATATTATGTCCTTTTGCAATTTTACGTAGGGCAAGTTTAGATTACTTTTTTTACATTTAGCAGTTGGTAAGTAAGTGGGTATATCTATTTACAGTAGGGTAGATAAACCTTTCAGAAAAAGGAGAGAAAATCTTTCAGTAAAAGGAGGTCCTAAGATAAAAATAGTTGACCGATAATCATGAAAAACTTCCCATTCCTACATTTGTATAAAAATAACACTTCAACATAAATATCGAAAACAAGAATTTTGTTTTAATAAGTAGTTGATTTTCTTGCTGAATCTACTAGTATCATTTCTAAAAATCTGTAAATACAGTTAAAAAATTAACAAAAAAATTGGTACGACTATGACCTGGCCCGTTTCAAAGAACTACCAGTTTAAAACGAAGCATAAACAAACCTTTGCTGAAACAAGACTGTAGGTATACCATTGTTAATATCAGCCTTTCTAACCGACCCGGTCCACCCAATGTTCGGGATCGTTTGTCTCAATATTGGACACGTGGAACTACTACGTGCCGAGCAGATTACGTACGAGACTGAAATAAAACTAGCGCATGTGAGAACTCAAAGATAAAACATAGAACATAGATATTAGCTTCAGCGTGCTCACCTTTTACTTAAGAAGTGTTAAAATAGGATTGAGTAGAAAATGTGCACGCTCAAACTCATTCACATTACACATAAGATTCACACTACTTCATCGACCTGTGTGCTTATAATACCATGAGTTACGTTAGGTGTGCTCGCTAGCGAGTACGTCAGTAAAATCTATGAAGATTTTATTTCTTGAAAGTAGCCGCTAGGGGCGCTGCACAATATGTCATACATTAAATTATAATGTCATTTTTTTAACGCAGTCGCTAGCGAGCACACCTAACGTAAACTCATGGTAAGCACCCTGATCTAGAAAGCTGAATAGAGAGATGGGTTCTAGATAATACAAAATACAAATAAATAGTTTTACAACTACCTACGCCGGATTTTTTTTTAGGATTAGACGTATACTTAAGTGCAAAACCGCTCCTAGGTAGGTTCTTTAGGGCAATCTTTCGTGCCCGTTAGTAATTTTGCAAACATAAAAAGTCGAATTTTACCTAACCTTATGATCCTAATAATTATAAATGCGAAAGTTTGGATGTCTGGATGTTTGTTACTCTTTCACGCAAAAACTACTGAACGGATTTTGTTGAAACTTTACAGTATTATTGTTTGTAACCCAGATTAACATAATATAGTCTATTATTTATGCCGATCTATGACACTAAATTTCACGCGGGTGAAGCCGCGGGCTAAAACTAGTATGTCATAAAATTCAGACAAAATTTACGATTTTTTGATTGCATAAGGCATAATATTACAATGTTATGAGCATCTAAAATTAATTATGCTACCACCAAGTTAGTTGGTGTAATGTTTGATCTATGTGGTATAAAAATTGAGTCAAAGCATATTTTTATAAATTATATCTTTATTCAATTTGAAACAACCTTAACGCTAGGCATCTAGTACAAAATTTGCAATTTACATACAGAATGAGAAAAATGTTAACGTGTATTGTGTCGTTTTTGGATCCCTTTACATAAATTGGTAGTTTAGATACTACAGTTAACATTTTAACTGCTTGCAAATCGACAAACTTTCTACTAGCTATTTTAATAAGTAACAGACAGTATAGTAAGTGACAGAGAGCGAATACTATACTTCACAATTCGCAAACAATATGAACCTTCCAAAAAATATTATTTATATAACAATTTACCTACACATCTCCTATTATCACAGTCCAAAGCTTATGTTGTGATAATGAAACCAAAGTGTTCTTATCTTTAGATGATCTAGCTTCGTCTACGAACAGGCATTTACAAATGAAATTAACCTGTAGATACACGAGGCCTAGAATCATATTTATTGCTATGTGCAGAAATCTTTTAATGGTCATATTTAAAACGAACTTACAGCTAAGTCCTTGGCTTTAACGGTACGTTTGACGGCACATCAAGTCACACTGTGACATTTTACGTATTTTAACAGTTGCTATTGCAACAAAAATGTATGCCTTGAAGTGCTGTCAACTGCACATACAATCTATGTAATTACAATGGAAGTAAAACTACCTCAAAACTCGGCGTACACGCATCACTTACGTATGTGTGCGTTACGTATCTTTGTTTTCAGTGTTAGACACCCTGCAGACTCAGTCGGCCGATTGATGGGTCATGCTGTTTATCAATATGAACATGTAAGGAAGTGCGCACAATACACCGATTTGGTATCTGCTGATTCTTCATACAAATTGGAAGCTGGCCCAACTACCGACTAAAAGTCTTTAGTCTGCGGGGAACACCTCAGTTTTGCAAAATTAATTATCTTATCAAGTGCAATAACACGGTCTTATTTACACGATTGCATACACACAGCTCTAATACAGGCTACAACCAAATCCATTGGGCAAATAAGTTTTATGTGTTCTTAGGTCACATTTTTAGGCTTATCTTGCAGTATCAACATTATTTTTATTGCTTTAGATTAGAGCTGCATGTTTGCACATATTATGTAGTGTCGCTGAGCTCATAATAGGTAAAATAAAACATTATGTAATACATAATTTAACAAAATTTTCGTTCAACAGTAACAAATTAGCCAGTCTACAGAACAAAATTTCTGAAAATTTTCCTATAATTCTACGTTGGAATACGAGGCAAGTGAACGTGTTAATATTATGAAAATTATTAGGCAGAATGATTAGAAATACTAGTTACTATGACTAAAGTTTTTAACTAACTTATTTACTAACGCTTCTGGCAGGACAGTGGGCATGATCATAGCGTGTTATTCATACATTTGACATTTTATATTTCACCATGCTCATGCTCGCTGTTTAGCAGAGGCTTAGGGGAAATTCATATCAGATCAGAACAATATGATGTGGATTTGAATGTGGATTGAAGTATGTCCGTGCCAATAGAAAATGTTTTTTTTTTCTATCAAATAAAGCCATTAACCTTGATAGGTATCTGTCTATGTATGTATCTAGTGATTAGAGCAAACTTATCTTTGATTTCAAAGTTGTGTTATGTAAATATTAATCTTTAACAAAATTGACAGTTTCTATTGGTACTGCTACAACAAACAAACACATCGCGACATTTTAATTTTTATAGAATTTCTACTTATATGCCTGATTTAAATTTCGTACTACATATTGATATGTCATTGAATACAATAATGTACAGACAAAATTCAAAAATATATAAATGCACTTTGGAGTGGCGCTGCTAGCGGATATTTTTGGAACTAACGATCTACCAATAAACTTTTGTTTTGACTGGTTAGTTCCAAAAATCTACTGACAATACCCAAGATAATGAAACATCATCAAAATAAAATATGAACTAGAAAAAATATTTTTATTTCTTTTGAACCATTCATCAAAATATGCCACAAGTTTAATCCCCTTAAAGCAAAGAGTTAAACAGATTTTCCGTCAATGAGGGATAATCTTAGGCTATATTTTATAGTAATAACCTACTATTTTTACTCTATATCGGTTATTTGTCGCGCAAAGAAAGTTGAGGCCATCACACAAGCAAAATTTTGTATAATATGCTTTTGGTGCTGACATCTTGCGTATTCTTGCGTTTTGTGTGTTCTATACAAATATTACATCAGTGTGAGTATGACATGCCTCAATTATTGTTGCGCCACCAATATTAGGTAATAATGCGAAATAAAAATATAAATAAACAAAATGCCAATGCAATTACTTAGATGCGAATATTTTAATATAAGAGAGAAAACTTAGCCAATAGTGACTACTTTGTTAATAAGCTATTTTTGCCTTTAAACGTAAAGGAATTGAACCCTTTTAAGTCCCAGGTGCAAATAAAAGCAAAAAGGAAAAATGGCACACGCTTTACTATAACAATTTTAGTAATTTTGTACAAAACTAAAAAAATACTAAATAGGTATTTGAAGAAAGTACATCATTATTTTTAAGTAAAGCGACTTTGAATATTGTAAGTAGGTAGGCATAACAAAAATAATTACAGAAAATTATAATAAGTACACAAAACGATTGATATATGTTAGGTACTGAAAACATACTTAAGTATTGTTAGTCTTCATAAATTATTTAAAAAAAACAAGTTCAAACAGCCTTATTAAGTAGAAAATGCTCTTTTTCTACACTAAGTTGTTCTTTCGGATTAAATTGTAATGTATACTGATTTCAAGTTATGACATTATACAGGGTGTTAGGTAAATGGGTATATGAGCCGACACTAGCCCATGTTAACATGGTCATATAAATGGTATGGTGAAGTCAGAAAATTGATATCTTCATTTAAATTATTTTAATTTTCATACAAATCGGATTTTATAACATTTATTTTTGTATGAAAATAAAAAAAAATAAAATGATGATATCAGATTTCTGACTTCACCATACCATTTATATGACCATGTTAACATGGGCTAGTGTCGGCTCATATACCCATTTACCTAACACCCTGTAGTACTGAAATTACCAATAAAATTCATGAATATTGCAACAAACTTATTAATTATACAATACATAATGAAGAATGTTCACTAATTATGTTTTTTAGCTTTCTGTATTCTCTGTTAAAAATAAAAAATACACGTGAAAGAATTATTTCGATACGTTAATTAGTTTCCAAGATATTGAATTTTAAAAGTGCGGGCGGCGGCCGGCCCGCCATTTTATGCGCGTGACGTCATATTACATCGACTGGCTCATATTTGTATGGGTGGAATCTTGCAAACTGAATTAAGACCCACTTCCAGGCAACCGATTAAGCTGAAATTTCGCAAACACATGTGATTTGGATGACCATGCAATATTATGATGACATGGAGCTGATCTGATGATGGAGCTATGATGATGATGATGATGATAAAATGTTGCTTTATTAAAATTCCTACGCTAAAAATTATCCATTTGTATTTAATGCCACTATGCAGTCCTAGTTTAACTATTACGAGAAAAACTCATTTTTGCAGTTTTCATACTAGTTGCTATTCAAGTAGCCATAAGATAAAAATAATACAGAATACATAAGCTTGTGATACCTTTTCAGAATCTCAATTAACCAATGAAGTTTTTAAGGTAATGGGCACGATGGTCTTCCTACATTTTTTTACACGATGGCTGATCAAAAGTGCAAGACAATGAATTAATTTTTCCTTCTTCTCTGCAATTTCTTAAAATTTTCGTACTTTTAAACTAGTTTGTTAAATTTTAATCTTTTCTTTTGATAGCCCAACTATCCCTTGTGATAAGGAAAAAAACTAGATTGAAAAGTATCCTCATTTGTAGAAATGGCATGAGAAAAAGTAATCGCAGGTGGCAATTTTCTAAAAATGCACAAAAACTTAAAAATCTTGAAAACGGTGATATTTTTACTGGGGTCAAAATTGGACGTTAGGGAGACCATGGCGAGGCCTATCGATAGTTACAGGGTTATCCATTGTTTTTGGGACACCCTGTATAGTAATCGGGGTCTAATGATGGAGCTGGAAGGTAATTCGCAATAAAACGACACAATCGCATCAAGTTTGGGTTTGGTTCAATTTTAATTTCTGTGATGGGTCTGGGTGTTAATATGTATAATAAGTTTGTATTTACAAAAAAAAAATATTTAAGTATGTTTATATCCGTTTTCTAGGGAGCGGACGCTGTGAATGTACGTCACACGGGGTCACGTGACCGTCGGCGGGACTCAATATTTAAGCGAACATTGAATGCCTATAAAATCATAACTACTGGGTATTTTTGAATGAAATAAAAACTAATGTATTTGTAAATGTAAAAGCTTAACTGTAACATAGGTTTCAAGTGATTTTGCATACCTAGTAACATTCTCAATTACTTTATTGGAAGTGCTGTTTTTTCTGCCTAGTCTACAAAGGTAGAGTCAGCATAAAAAGTACCAGCAACTTTTGCAATGCAACTGTTACACTTGATTTTCAGTTGAGTATACTATTAAAAAAGTCGATAGTAAGTACAAATAATAGAATAAATACTTTTGATGCGAACTGCACTTCAGTAGATTTTGTGTTACTTCTGCAAACATTTAGTTACAAGCTTCCCAAGAACAAAACAAGGCATTATTTTTTCACTGTGCCGCTACATTGTTACTGTCATGTTATTCCAAATACCGTAATAAATACTTTTCGCGCTCTAATTGAGTTCTCGTTAATTCCCGAACAAGACAGTTGAGCAGTGAGTCGCTACATTCTAAATTAATTATTGCATTATAATGTAGTGATGCAAGTTTCTCAACTAACATCAATGCATCTAACAACATAATTTTAAGTCTTCAGAATACTAAATAAATGCATGTTGAAAGTAAATAATATCAAATTATCAGAATAATCACCTAATATTTATTTAAAAATGCTTTTAATTTGGAAAATATTGTAGTTATTTCAGACAGCGGCGTAGCCGAATTTTAATATTTAGTAAGACTGTTTAGTATTATCTGGCATAATAACTTCTTAAAACTAAGCCTCTTTCCTTTATCACAAGCTCCATTTAATCTATGGTAATGCCTACAGAAAAGACCTTAAAATATAATTAAATTATATTTAAAATAAATGTTATTTTGGAAAATGGAATTGGAATAAGTAATCAACTTTGTTTAGTCAGCTAAAAAAATAGTAAATATGTATAGGAAAAAACATAAGAAAATAAATCAAAGCAAATCTATAATTTGTCAGTCAAGTTAAGCTAGAAAATAATATGATGAAATATAAAATATTAATGAAATGTACTTGCAAATGAAAAACGATATAGGTATGAGCTTTTTAAATTAATTCATCTTTATCAATTTTGTAATAAAAAAAAAAAGCAGCTACACATAAAAAACTATAAAATGCCAAAGCCCAGCTTTGTTAATTTTAATGTTAGAATTAAACAACCGGAATCGTTACTTCTGGGTAGATTCAAATAAATTATAATATTGACTTGTTACCATTACCTGACCAGTTAATCAGTGGATCGTAATTAGAATCTTCTATGTCTAATAAGAGGTTATCTCTATCGTTACCATCTGCATTATCTTTAGGTCCATTCACGACCTCTTCATCGTTTACTTGCAAATTAACATAGGACATAGACTTTTTCTTCTGTTCTAAGTCAAATATTTCTAAATAGTCATCGTCGTCTTCGTCAGATTCCATAGTTAAAGGTATTCGAGATAGTTCTAGGTTGTCTCTCCGATCTTCTGATTGGAGTACACCATAGCGGAATTGGTTGGCATCAATAGCGTTGTGCGAGTTGTTCGATTCGTTTTTACTGCTTTTTCTCCTGAAAACATTTAAATATACCATTTTTGAACAGTTCAATAGAAACGGGTTGCAAGTCACTCCCGACCAGCCAATCTGGAAAGTCGTGCAGTGGACATTCTATGTAATTGATTAAAAAGGAACAATTTTTTTTAAAATATTAGATCAAATTCACATCTTAATTACAATGTTTGCATAAATACACACAATGTCAAAATTCATAAGCTTACCTATAAAATATGAAATATGCTACAGCTAGGAGTGCGAAGCCCCCAAAAACGATGACTCCTCGCTTCACAAAACCGGGGCCTAATTCTACCTTATCTTCATTTGAGGAAGATTTATTTTTTGCTGTTTCTATACTTGTTTCAGCTGTGGAAGAACTATTTACAAGGGTATGATCTGAAAATGTGTAATACAAAAGATTAGAACTCATTTAATACAGTTGCTGCATGTTTCAGTCAGTAAAGGTAATCTACTAAGTAAATAGTAAATAAAATATTAACAAATATAAGTGAAAAACTATTTCATTTAAGATTTCTTCTCTGGCATTTCAAATAGTTTATTAAATGAAAACTAACATTAAATGTTACCAGTCAGTAAGTATGAGTAGTCTGATTTAATTGCATGCAAACTCAAAGCAATATTTTCCTTATTGACTAGCATTCTGATCAGGGTTCGAAAATATCCGATATTTATTATAAATATCAAAATATCGGATATTTATGATATATATCCGATATATATCAACTTTGATATATATCAATTTTGTATGAAAGCCATAGTATTATTTTATTGTATTATTCATGAATACTATTGCATATGTGTGACATAAACATGTTTTTAATGTTTTTAAAACTTAAAATCAGACAAATAAAGCAAAAACATAAAATTTCTTTTAAATCCGGCAAAATTTACAAAAAAAAAAAAAAATCTTATGTCAAAAAGTACAAATACAGTAACAAATTTTAAAAGTTGATATATATCATCAAAACCGGCTTGATATATATCGGATATATATCCGATATATATCTTGATATATATCCCTTGATATATATCCTCGAACCCTGATTCTGATTGTTGTATTTTTAACTTGACATTATCACTATTATCAATAAATTACTTATTTGTCACTTATCACTCACCGTTGGGATTGTCTACTTTAGGTGTGTCATTGTTTTTCACTTCGTCAGGCTTAGCAGGAGGTTGGTCATCTTTTTTAGGCTTTGTGTCTGGTATCTGTGGTGAAGGCGCTGCATGCTCTGGTTGTGAATTAGGCGCTTGATCAGAAGCTACGGATTGAGGAGCCGCAGGCACTGAATCAGAAGCAGCGGGCTGGGCAGCGCTTTCAGCAGGTGGCGGCGCTTCAACCTTTACGCTTCCTCCTTCTGTCTGCAACTCCCTTTTACGTATCCTCATCATATTCGTCGCGTGCAGCATTGATGGCCAGTACGAATAAGACACGCTCCCATCAAACCCTTTGCCCAAAATCAAACCATTGCTCTCGATGTTCCCACACCGCACTGAACTCAACAATAACATCAGCCCGCACGCAACTAACATTTTGAAAACTCACTATTCCCACACACTTTAATCCAATACATATAGGCCGATTAATAAATCTTCTAATTTGAAACTGATTTACTTGTTTTTCGATGGGATTTGTGAAGATCTCAAGAGGAAAACCAAGAAATTCGCGTAAATAAATTTGACACTAATTAATGACAAGACAACAAATTGACATTGACATTGACGGCTGCCACTAAAAAAAATATAGGTATGCGTTTAGTTACCAAAATTACGAAAATAAAAATTCTGATTCTGATTGAAATACTAGAACCATTCTCAAGCACAAGCTTTTGAATAATAAGGAAAACATGGAAAAGTAATTTTGCACCACTTCAGCGCTATAATTCAACAAAATATCAATCATAATCCTTGCAGTTACAGAGTTGGCTGTATAACGTAATTATGCCTGTGCTTTAGAAAAACATTTATCATAAAAGAGCGCGCTTTTTCAAAAAACTTTGATTTCATGGCGGGAAAGTGAAGCAGTTTTGTTTTATTATTTTCTAGTATTAGGTATATACGATTATAAATACACTCGACATCAAATAAATCGCACCTCCCGCGACAAGCACTTTCAAACGTATGCATCCCGACTTCCCACCAATATTGCTACCATTTAAAAGCCTAGTTCTAAACTTCATTTCATATAAGGAAAGGTTTTTACCCCAAAAATGTGTCTTGAGAAGGATCCAGAGTCACTTAATAAAAAAATAGGTAGTTACGCTTGAGCCAACTTTTATGGCTATAAAACTGTTAAGTTGGAATTAAACGCTATCCATCTGTTAAAGAGGACACGTGAGATCATTATTTGGTTTTATAACCATAAAAATTGGTCTACTTGATCCCATAGATGAGCCCAAAGTGATGTATTCTTTCAAGTCACATTTATGGTATATTGTAATCATGTATTAAGAAATTAAATGTGTTTTTCTTAAAGGATATAATTTATTGGGCTTTCAAGTAACACCAATATTGTTGGGGCACCATGATTGTGTCAGAAGAAAATCTTTAAAGTTCGGGTCGCGGAAGGTGCGGTTTATTTGATGTTGAGTGTATGTAGTAATTGTGGATTAATAACCATGAAGACGTGTTCGTGATTGTCAAAACTTACACGCGTGTAAGGATATTTCCATACCAGACGTCACTTTAAAATAAGGTACTTGATACAAATAAGGCCTACGTTCTAATAAGGCCTATACATCAGAAAACACAGATAAACAAATCCAACCGGGATAATACTTCAAGGACACGTACTCATATGCCCTACAACCCGGTAGAGTGCAAGAGCGTCCCGATCCACGATCCCAGCACCAATTGGCACGCGTTCTTCTAAGGTGGTGGGTGATTTCGTGCTCTCTTATAAAAATCTGGCGATTTCATCTTAAATTTTCGGTAAAATAACGCTGTTTTAGATTAAGCTTTTCTTAGTAATCGTTTCTAAATATTTCTTACTAGCTAATAATTACCTTAATTTGTACTACTGGCTATAGATGCATTATTTGTAAATTTTTAAAGACAACAAGAGCGAAATATCTAATAAGGCCTAGGCCTTATTTCAGCATGGTAGGCCATATTGGATACTTATGTCAACACCTGATTACGGACAAATTCATTAAACTAAATGAGTCAAAGAGTAACTAAATATTTATTTAATAAGAATGTTACTAACAGCACAGAAAATAAAAAGAAAACAGAGTAAAAAAAAATTACTAAACCTGTAAAAAAAAGAAACAAAATACAAAACCAATAAAAAATAAGAAAAAAAAGCCGTATGTATAATTCTAAAGGATTAAAGCTGATATTATCATGCCTGTCTCGAAGACAATGTAGCAGATATGCTACCATAAAGGACTGCTTTTGGTGGTATCATAAAGATTGTGTAGGAGTTCGTAAAGATGATTCAGAAGCCTTTTTATGCCCTGGTTCTAACAAAAATTGAGATCTCATTTTGTTTACAAAAAATCAAGACTAAATGATGTTCCTAAACTGATTTATTTAAAAGGTTTTATGTGTAGGCCTTATTCGAACACGGTGTTTTAATAAGCCCTATACAAAAAAATAATATTGTTTGTTTTTGATATTTTTTTTGATAATTTAAGTAAGGAATCATTACTTTGTTACTATGAATATTTAATTTTATCTATAATTTATGTATTATTCTTAATAAGTGGAATTTAAGTTTATCTAGAGATATACAGTATATTTCTGTTTACTTGGTATGTAAAATTTTGATAACGCAAACAAATCGACGTGTTTAATGTTATAAGACCGCATTTTGTTTAATACAACCTCAATTTTAAGGTCTACAGGCATTTGAATCATATAGGCCTTATTCCGTGTAGGTGATTTAATAAAGCCAAAATCAGTGGTTTCGTAATTTGCTTATTTTGAATAGATTTAGTTAAAAATTGTGTTATTTTTTGTAATATTGCTAAAATTAAAGGATGGAAGAAGTTAATTAACCTTGTTTTTGTTGACTGGCGTTAATATTTATTGAAATATAAGCATTTAAAGTTAGGTAGGCCTTATTTGTATCAAGTACCTTACTGTTTTAACCGTGGTTTTAACACGTTTGTAATTTTTATTAGTAAGGGGTATGAATATTACTAACTTCGAACTAAATTATTTAAATAATTCATGAAAGAATGTCTCAGTTGGTCGAACAAACGGATGCACGAATTATGTTAGAACCGCTTGTATGAAGTTAGGTTAGAGGAAGCCCTAAAGGGGACTAGGAACTTAAAAAATGAAACAACCAATCACATAGATGTTTTATTCGATTTATTCAAATAGACATTTACATATATTAATCATATACTTTAAAGTAGAATTTCCAAATTTTTAATTTTTGGTATCTCTATTATTTTAACACTGATTGAGTATCCACAATAATGATGATAATTTTTAACCTAATGTTACAAACATCGGTACATTTTGTTCCAAACATTTAAGGTACACAGTAAATATCACCTACAAAATTGAACAAGTTAGAAATAGTATAGTTTTATCAAAGGACTTACTAGTTATAATAATTACTGTAGTTAAAAATACGGGCAGTGATAAATAATGTCAAACACGCTGGTTGTTTTTTACTTATCAGATTAGATGTTAGCAGCTAGCAATTTACTTGCAAATAGAACTTACTGTTCGGTATTCGTAAATCACTATTTTATTTAACGTTAAAATTATAAACCAGTCAAAAACTAACTACCTATCATTCACTCAAAATCTCACATTATAAGCATACTCTCAAACCCTAGAGCAATAAGTTAAGAATGTATCTTAAAAGTTAATTTACAAATTAATAAATATGCTATAAATAATTGAGTACTCACTATTTTATACAAAAAATCTTCAACATCAAAATGATAATATCACGCCACATATCCCGGTTGTATTGCTAAGTGACATCCATTCTAAGTAGAATAAGTTCTCTTATAAAAATAGATTGCACAAAAGATGTTAGGAAAATACATTCAAAAACTTTCCAAGGCAAAAACGTAATTGAAAATTCAACATTCACTGTGTTATTAAGTGACAAAATCAAGCAAAGCTTGAGAAGAGCAACGTCAGCTGGCATAGAAAATTACGTAAATTTTAGTCACTAAATTGTGCACATTTAAGTAATTAATGCGCAATCTATCTATTTTGCATTCACAAATAGCTAAAAGAGCTATAAAAATGTGCAACGGTTGATACAAAACTTCGATTTTTATGGCCCCTTGCAATGAAATGTCTTAAACTCAAATATTAATAATCCTTCACATCAAGCAATTTCTGCATCGCTGCCCAAGCATCGCTACTCTTGTTTGTATCCTTCTAACGTTAAGTACATTTATGTAATTAGATGTAGGTATTTTCGACACTTTATCTACGATCTTACGATTAGCATAATATTAATATTCCAATATAATTCTACAGCTTATCTCAAAATGTTGGCTAATAAATCTTCTGAAACTTTAAATATTATTTAACTTTATTTTTATCTCTAAAATATGTTACGATTTAAAAAGGTCGCAAAAGGTCGTACCTTCATTATCATGCATGAGATAATAATTATAATTTTATCAATCCATAAAACAAATTATGCAAGTCCTTCCAACCTCTGTCAATTTTAAATATCCCTTCGTTAATAAATATTTTTCACGATTTACACTCATCTTTAACAAGGAGCGAACAATTTTTACTTAAAATTCGAATTGATAAAAGAAATGTAAAATATTGTCGAATTAAGCCTTAACTCTAAAACCATGGCACACAAATTATTCCTAACAAAGGAGGGAACTCTTCACAACTGGGGATTACTTCTATTATCTTTTTTCGTTAGGTCAAATTGCCATAAAATTCTCTCAATCAAAATATTCACAAAGTATAGAAATCCGAAACATGAGCAATGATGTTTACGTATCTATAAAGAAAATGAGTTGAAAAATATGTTTGTTTGGTCACGTTAGTCTCCACAGTCAGTCTTCCAAGAAACCTAGATTATACGAAACTGTAAAAAGTAAGTAAAGTATTATGGAATGTGATAGGAAAAGATAGTGAATCAACTTGAGAAAATCATAACCAACATAATGATTTGCAGGGTCTATCCGGGAACAATACGTTACAGCTATATTTGACCGGGATAGCTTACTCATCCTAAATAGACAGTTATCGCTCTAAATTCGTCACACGATCCTATTCTAAACACTTTATGAAACAGCAAGATGTTTTTGGAACTAGCAACAAATTTTACCTTTCTAACTACAATATTGCTGCCCCGGATTAGGACGAAATCGGTAGCATATCCTCAATGGTCAACGTAGGACGAAGTCAGAGTTGACGGTTGGATTGTTATCCAAAACATCCTGTATGCGCTCACTCCAGACGCGCTTTGTAGCTGGTCTTCCATATTTCAGCTAGGGTCACAGCTGAGTGGAAGCGATGGAAAATGCAAAGTGGCAGAGTGAAGCGCTGAACGAGAGACCAGGCGACGAAGCCGTAGAAGTCCAGTTGCACCTGAAAGAGGAGCAAGAATGACATTAATAAGAGATATAGAAAATAATGTGTAGGCACTTGGGATTTAAGAAGAGATATTTTCGAATACTTACAGGGTTAGCGAGAACTTTTTGTGCCTCGAAGGTGTAGATGAGCCACATGGTAACATTGCAGATGAGGAGGAAGGTAACGGCCTGGCGAGCGGGCTTGCTGCGCTCTTGCTCCGGGAGGTGGACACGACGCCGGGATACGTCAGCGATGAACAGCAGTTGAAGGACCACCTGGAATGTTTATCAGTCGAGTGAATAATTAACCAAGCGAAGAATAATATTAAATAATTAATTATCGAAACAGCAAAACAATGAGCGCGGCTAAATACGAGTAAGTATAATAAAGGCGATTAGATCTTTAATTTCTCAGAAGAGTGAACAAGACAACAAGGTCGTCAAGTTATCGCCACACAAAATCTTCTGAGAAAAACAGGCGTGTTTATAAAACATTTTAAAGATTCATTTACAAACTCAACTTTGTTTTTATAGTCATAGTCATTTATTCCATAAACAATAACATTATCGTATTGGAAATATTACAAAAAACATGAAAAATTAAAAAACATCAACCGATATAAAATCACAAATTATACAACACAGCTTAACAAAATGAGATCTTTACTTTTTATCATTTAAATAATCCTCAATACAATAATAACATTACTTCAATAACAAAGACTTAAGCTTATTTCTAAATTTATTAAAATTATAAAAATATAAAATGATGTTGTGAAAATATAAAGTAATTACCTGAAGCACGCTCAGACATCCAGTGATCATAACGAGCAGGTTCGGTTCATGAGTGAAGGCGCCCATTCCACCAGCGATCACGCTAAAGACAGCATACACGAAGAGTCCGAAGGCCGACACGCGTAGCAGAATGTCATTCAGATCCGACTGCTCCTCCGAACGGAACTTCAGAGATTGCACCCTGCGAAGAGGCTCGGTACAGGAGGGGGGACTAGAGCTCCATTTCAATACACGACCACTGGTCGATCATTAGATGTAACCAAAACGGTGAAAGGATGGGGAAACGCAATGTTCGAAATGTAAATAAAATAAATGAAACGTAAAAATATGAAACAGTGGTGGGTTGTGCAGCACAGGTTATGTGCATAAATTAATGCGTGGAGCCAACAGAGGATAATAGGTGTTAGGGACAAAGGATGAGGAAAACAAAAACAAATAAAGATCACTAACAGAAAAAAACAAAAAGGAAACTAAAATAATCTAAAACGACAATAAAATGTGATAAAGTTAGTGGTCTAGTGCCATCTAACGTTATTGATTAACAAACAACTAAGTCACAAATGAAAATAATTTAGTTAGGCAACTTTAAAAGGCAACCAATCAATTTTTGTCTTACCGTATAAATCCAATCAGAATCGCCAATATTGATAGAATCATCAGAGCACAGTGCGATACATCTGCCAAGTAAATCGAGAGGCGTTTCAAATCTTGGTGTCTGATAAGGACGAAGAAGAGGATCAAGCAGATCAACGAGGCGACCAGAAGCAAGAGTCCACAGAAGAGGCCTTTGGATGCGCCAGCGCAGTCCACCCGATTGCCGCGCTGAGCCGCCGCTAGTGCTGCCGCCCTGCGGGAGAGAACAGCCTCCAGACGTCTTTCCAGATCTTCATCGTTGGCCACACTGCAACCAAACGCGTACTTACGTCAGTTACATGACGCTCTCATCAACTCTAATCGTGCACTATTGGGTTAAATCAACTAAGGTCTGCCTTGTTACTAATATGAATACTAAATCGAGATTAGCGGATGGTTGCATGTCAGGTGAGTTACAAAAGGATGTTAATCTACTTGGTTTAAAAATTTTGAAGAAAAGTTAATAATTACCTGGGATAGCGACCAATATGCTTCCACATGACGTAGATCACGGCGGCTCCGATGAGAGAATACTCGATGATGAAGGGGTAGAGATAAGGAGCCGAGTCAGATACTATAGTGCCCATAATTGGGTCTCTCCCGCATACGGTGGTATTATCAATGTTGGCAATCAATGCAGCTGGGTTCAGATTATCAAAAGATTCAAAAATCTCGGTCGAGTTGTTAGCTGAAAAGACAAAATATTAATTATTATCAACGAATCTAATAAATGTTCTTAGTGCTATTCATTAACGTCACAAAATTAATAAAAACTAAAATGTGAGTCATGCGAGAAAGTTAAACACAAAAAATTAAAATTAAAACATAAAAGGTATGTGCACGATCCTAACAAACAAATGACATGAACGAACATAAAAGACGTCAGACAAACCGCAAAATAAAAGTGCAATGCGTAGTATGGACATGTGGACTCAAAACGACACTCCGACAAACCTGGCACGTGTGGTGGTTCATCTACGCGATACGTTTCGACACTATTGGCCCATTCATCATTATCAGTTACGTAGGATCCAGTAGAGGGTGTTGACATGGTGCTTACAATCGGTTTGAAAGTAGAAGAAAGCCACTGGAAAACCTCCAGCATGGCTGTCGGATTTTGAGACACTTTATCACCCTCAGTTGTTAATGGTGTGGCTACAGTGGAGGTAGTAGTGAAAGGATTATCGTTTGGCCACGCATCTTTGGATTCGCGAGGGAATCCCATCCCATTGTTGTAACCGATAGTACTTTTTATAGTGTCGATTATTTTCGATTTAGTACCGAACCCACCACCCATATTAAAGTACGGTGAAGGAGTAGTCGCTGAAAAATTAGTTCAAACTCATTTTAATGACACACGCATGCACAAGTTAACTTGCCACAGGGAAATGTGTTAAGAGATTAGTATGAGTTAATGTGGTAACATTACTAACTTGTGGTGGACATTGTTGACGTAGTGGTAGGCTCAGCAGTTGTGGATGTTACAACGTTCAGGATTTGCTCACCAGCAGATTTCACGGTATTCATTACTGTGGAAGCAGCCGTAGTCGCTGCTGTAGTGATACCGTAAACTTTACCAGAGTGCCTGAGAGTATGCTTGCGGATGACTTCTGAAGACGTAAATATTCTAATGTTAGTACACTTAGTGCTTCACATGCTGATTAAATTTGTGTAGCTAGGCAGACTCTTTAATAAACTGGTGCAAGTGTATAAAAAAATCTCATGACATGAATACTTACTCCCGAGAACACCTTCGCCTGGGACACCCAGAGGATTTTTCACGTGGTAGTCTGTGATCTCCTTCAGGGATTCAAGAACCAATGTTCTAATCCAAACACAGATGTTAGTAGCAACGACGTGCATCAGACCGAACCGAGCAATCACTTTGAAACGGTGGATGTTCAGCTGTAAAATAATTGTTTAGATGAATGGATAACGTTGTACAAAATACATATAATACATAAATAAGTAAGTACATAATTTCGAAACTTACTCGAGAATTCATGAAAATGAAATACATTTGCATGAAAGTAAAGACCATCTGCAAGACAGGATTGATGCCTTTCAAAATAAGATAGCAGGGAGACACCTGTGGTAGCTCGAAGAATGTTCCGAACTCCAAACCGTTATAAATCATAGTACCCAGGCCGAAAGCTGAAAATCAAAATAAATACTGTATAAATGAGCTCCTCTAAGTAAAACGGCAATGACTCTACTGTTGTAGTTGAAAAATTTACTTACCGATAGCTCCAATTCTAAGGAAGAAACTTCCATGGCTGTGGTCATTTTGCGAAGTCTTCCGTCTTCGGATTGGTCTAGCAACTGGTCCAGCCTCCAACTCCACGATGTCTTGTTGCTATTCAAAAAATAAAAAGTTAATTATTTGCCAGGAAAAAATGTGAATTTACCTACCTCTCTGGAAGAAAGCAAAACATACGAGTAGTGTGGATTTTTCGGAATATTTTTTGAAGTAACGATTTGCGGAGAAGTGTATACTCAGAACTTACTAGCTCTTATTAGTCTATCTACATAATGAGGTGGCAAAGATGTATTTTGTTAATACCGTCAACGTTTCTTCAGACGCAGACGCTACACACTATCGAAGCTTTTAACGTGACTCTTTATTAAAGTGATGATTACTGATTGATTACTTACACACAAGCCCAGTGTGAGGAAGCGAGATGATACGGTAGCAGAAAAAACACAAGCACTATCGCAAAAAAGTACTACAACAGCACATCCAAAGCTCTCTGAAGTTATGATACACAAAATGAACAAGCGAGATGCGTCAATGTATACCTCACCTGTTCGGTCGCATATAATTGCGCCATTTGTATTTGCAATTGCTGTTGACGAACTTTATCACGCATCTTACGGGGATACACCTCCTGCCCAAATGATATGGAAAAAACAAAAAAGTTGGCAGCGTAAACAAAAGGGGTCATGCAGCTTGTTACATTCTGACAAAGCTTTATGATAATAATTTCGTGGGAGGCCAACAAAAATAACGAATGTGAGCAAAAACATAATTTTGAATTAAAACGTTGAAATCAAAATTAATAAACACTAACGTGAGGTTATCTAACACAGGACGACACGTGAAAGCGCAAAAAGAGTGTAACATTAAATGTTAAATACATTGTGTTGGATGTGCTGTGTATGATGTGTGTTGTACGAAATACTCCTCCACTCACCTGGAACTGGCTCTGCTTCTTCGATTCTTTGGTAGGTTTTTCTTTGCCAGCGTCTTTTTCCTTTTCCTTATCTTTTTTCTTGCCATCTTTTTTCGCGTCTTTCTTGCCATCCTTTCCTTCCTTTGCATCTTTAGCTTCTTTCCCTTCTTTGTCTTTGGTTTTCTTTTCCTTTTCCTTCTTGGGTTTCTTCTCTTTCGGCGGTGGCTTGGGTTTTGGTGGACTACCGCTGCAGCATGCACTTTCTAGGATAACAAAATGTATTTTTTTACAAGTTATTGAAATAGCTAGTTCGGATTCTAAACTTCTCTATTGCAATTTAAGTAATTGAGGATATCTTTGCCAGGATCTATAGGATCTTACTTACTCAATCAAGGGTATACTGACCTTGAAGCAGGAAGCAGAAGACGTACAACAAAAACAATATGCTCATGCCATACAGGTAGGTGAAGAAGCCTTCGTAGTAGTACAGGGGCAGGTTGTGTGTGATGACGTCGCTGATGACGTAAGCAATGCATACCACTACTAAAAGCTTCGCGTAGATGAAACTCGATATGATGAACAGCGACGTTCTGTAATAGAAACATTGTTATTTGTATTGCGGTCTTCGTTGTGGCTACTTTTATCATTGAACTCTTTTGATCGGTATACATTGTATAAAGAAATAGGTACAATTCATGTCAATGCATTCGATACGATTATTAGGAGTGTTTATATGTTGCCGGGAGAGGTATTGTGGTGCACTTTTACGGAAGTGTTTACTATTAAATTAAAGGTTTGGGTAGGTACAAGAAGCAGAACCTAAATGCCATTATTTCCTATTCTACCTAAATAATAATTTAACTAACTACTTATTCATTTGGCTCGCAGTCATCATGCGTCGCATACAAAATTGGGTCATCCGACATTACGTATGCTAATTAGTAGCTTGCATCTAGCTGCACGAGATTCAGTTTTATTTAGTTTTTTAAGTAAAGTTCATTCAAAAATGGTCTAACTACGCAGTTACGATATTGCGCACCATTATTATTAAAATCGCACTTAATAACTAAAAAACTAAATTAATTTATTTATAACATAAATTTTATTATTTTGTAACGATATCTAATTTTAGCTTTCAAGTTTCACCAAGATACTTTTATTAAATTTTATTATTTATTATTATTATCTATGAATTAAAAAAAACATAATTGATTTATGAATTACGACTTCATTATCTAGAGCCAATTCAATTATCAGCAAACGTACTTTTTCGACGGTTTCGGCTGAACGCACTTCAGCTCCATCTCTTTGTTCGCGGTGTTGTGCTTCTCGGCTATAGCGATGTCGCTGCCCTGCTGACGGTGCTGCCCTACCGGGAGCGTCGCCATATTGTCCACCGCCTCCAAGTCCACCGTCGCCACCTTCACCTCAGCCTCGGCGGCTGACGCCTGATGCTTGTCCTTCCCCATCACTGCACTATCTCACAGGCCCATAGTTCACGGTTAGGCCAAGGTAAGCTCTTTCGAGGGAAAACCTCCGGAAGTGCACAGCGAGACCGTGCCTCCGGGTTGAGTGCCGGCCGAGTTGCGCAATACGGGATGCTGCGCGCTATATCAGGGGCGGCACCCTCCGCACCCTATTCCGTTTAAATTGCACTCTTAATGGCGAGAGGGTCGTAATTTTGAGTTACGGAGAGGGAACGAATTCGGAATGCATTCCGGTTTGGGGCGACTCGGATTATGTTGCATGTTTTGTTTCGATTAGGAGGTATGAATTACTTTTTGATATCTATTACAATATCATCCAAAATCCTTTGTAATTAGTTTTGGGCCGTGTTTAAGATTAATGAATACTAGTTATATTAAATCTCAAGACATTTTATAATTGGTAAACTATTTTTGGCAGCCCTGCGAATCGGCGTCCCGCGGTCGATAGAGGCGCGTCTCTCCCGGAGAGCTTTGGGAGACTGCGCGAGCGACCCACTGACCCGGCCCAGCCTCACCCACCGAGCGCATCCGAGCCACCCTTGTGACAACCCTAATTGCACGGTGCATTTCATGGTGAACACCGTAGCAGACAATACACGGGTTTATGAAAGAAGTTTGTTACTACGCATTTTTATTACTTGCCCGTCCGCGCATGCCCAGTGGGCTTAGGTTTCTGCGCTAGGTCTTTGAACTTTCTATCCAGTGCCAATTTATAAGACACCGGGGTGATGTTTGTCTTACATAATGGATATCGCCTAGTAACCGTTATCAATATTTCCTAAGAATATCGAAAGTAATAAGTATTAATTTTCAATCGCTGAAGGTAATTGGTTTAATTTAATAAACCACCTACTCTAAGGATTCTGAAGCCAATCATTTCATGAATTTTATAAGTGAAATCCATTCCACTCTCCATCCTCGGATTACTTCAGTAAAAATTCAACAAGCAATCACCGCTTCTGGTACAAAATCGTATCAGAGTTGAGAAACAATGTAGCGCGCAATTTTAGTTAACTACCATCTGTGATCTGTGTTAACACCCATTGAATAGGTATAATTATTGGTAAACCAAATAAATAAATAAAAATAATAATAAAGTTCACACTGAATTGTCGGTGTGTAAATCTATAATTTATTGATTAGTCCAATTTCTAACTGCTAAAGAGTCATAACTCTCCAAAAGTGCATCTTTATGCAATCGTTACTATCGATAAAGCGTGCATCATATCTCAATAGATATAGAGCAATCTCCACGTAACTAATTTACATAGTATGATACAAAAATGCTAAACCCACCGACAAAGAGCCACTGGGCAATCACCCTAAAAGGCCACATGAAAGTTACGCACATCTTTAGTCTCTAATTCTTGCACCCTCTACGTAATCGCCTTAGCACTGTCAGTGCGGTGTTAAGAAATCCATTAGTGGATGACTGCGACGACACTTCGTTTAACGATCACGCTTGCCCTAATTAGTTGGTTGCCTAACACAAGGACTAAATGTGGCTAAAAGTGAAACCAACTAATTAGTGATGTATGGGCGAAAGCAACATTAGGTATTTAATCATTGATGTACTTTTAACTCATTGAGGTTATACTTATACTTATCATCATCATCATCATCATCATCATCATCATTTCAGCCACAGGACGTCAATAATTGAACTTCACCAATTATTATTAGTGAATTTAAAGTTATAATTTAGTTGTACTTGTACCTACTTGTACGAGTAATTCATTTAAATAGATATGATTTGTAATCAGACTCAAGTATTTTTTTACTTTTGGTGTGGCTGGAAAAACTGCGGGAATTGTAGATATTTACTTAGTTAACTACTAACTTAGTTGATAACTAGTTACAAAACCAGAATTCATTTGAATCTGAAATAATTCAAGTTAAAGCAATTTAAATCCTTTGAAGGGATCAAATAAATCCCTTGAAAGTTTGCCCAATAACATCTGTTTCAAATATGCGGGCGATTTTACGCAAATATTTTCTCAACTTACCGCAAAATCTGTTTTTGTACGTACTTAGGAGATTATAATGCTGAAGATTTATTTGCCCAGATTTTCTAACTCGTCGAATACCCCTTTTTGCCCAAAGTTAAGGGTCCAGCAGGGTTACTTCCTAAGAACGTTTTATATTTTCGGGTCTCTCTGCCACTATCGCTCATGCTGACATTTCGCTTTGCGTGAGAGGGATGGAAACAAATGAATCCTTGAATAACATTGTTTGTAGTAGCCCTACTGGTGTTTGGACACGCACCCTTGTAATAAATTTGTCTATAGGTAGCTTTGAAACAGGGATCCCTATATGGATGATGACATCATCCATTCCGTAATCTGTCTGGCGCATTCTTAAACACACATGTTTATTACCAGACCATAGGTGGTATATGATAAGCATACGATGTGTTATAATTATTTATAGGTAAGGCTCGTTTTCAAGGCAAATAGCGACAAAGTTAGAATACTATGTTATCTATTACAATGCTAGGAACGTAGAGTGCTAGACAACTAATCATTTATTTCACCATACGAGTAATTAAATTAAATGGTTAGTTGGATTTAATCGATTTGAGATTTTGGTCAACAGTCGAAATAAGTACCTACATGAATAAAAAAATTATGATTTAAATACAGGCTACGTATTTCAAGGATTCTTATTATCTGTTTAATAATAGGTGCCTTACGTTACATAATACATAATAATAGGCATAATAAACCGGTTTAGGTCGACTAATACATATCCAAGCCTACTGCATTCGCATTATTACCGACCTTGTAAATACAGGCCGCAGACAATGCACACTTACATAACTTTATGGTCGTCTGCCCCAGACGTCAGGATTAGCGAAACGGCTAAATAGGTTCGTAGATTGATCGTCTCTATAAATATTAAGTTTATTGCTCACTCGGATGTTTTTGTTAGAGATAAATCGCTGCGGTTCATAGTCGACATCCTGCGGATGCCATTGAAAGCATTCTGGACGAGAGAGCATAAAAAGTCCAGCTGTAATTAGTTCAATTCTTAAGTAAGAAATATGAGGCATTTAAAATACATAAATTGATACTACTATTGTTTGGATAAAATCATTACTATTTTCATGAAACACACAAAACATAAATTATTGAGACAGGAAGCGGTAGGTATATTAGAGGGTTTACAATGATTTCCAAATTTTCAGGAAGGCTTTCACTAATTGATTACGAACAAGTTTAGTGAGTTAGACTGACTTTTTGTCATTTTTACCATTAATCCTAGTACTCGTAGTAATTGCTATTATACAAGAATGATATACGCACCTTTTATTTCAAAATATGTCACTAGAGAAAAAAATTCCGACGTTTTATTGTCTTCATCGTTAAGTTGACTCTGGCATGTTATAATTTATGCATTTGGCGAGGATATAATATGCATATATTATAGCCAAGTTCCTGCGTTAACGGGATCCCTTGCCAGCAGACCGACACTTCGGAGCACAATGGTCGAACGCCTCCTGAACGGTCATAAAGGTACAGTGAACATGGAGGCACCATGGACACCATACGATTTTCAGCCCAATACATCACATATTACGATCTAATTTAGCGCCTGATAACTACGTGGTTAAGGACGGGGCGAGCGACACCAGTAAAAGAAGCTATCGATAGATTTATAATAATTTTGTATTTAGGTTAGTCGAAAAGCTACCGAGTCCACACTGCTTTGGAAATAGAGACCGAGACCTTACAAATTACCTGCAAAGCAAAAGTAGTAGACTTAAATAAAAATATACAAACAATTGATTTATTCACTAATACGGGTGAAAGAGATGCATTTTTCTGTCACTACCAAAGTAAGAAAACTCTAACTAATGCTAAATTAATCATCTTGACATAGAATACAACATAAAAATAATGTAAAAATTGATTTTCAACACACGTCGTGTCGATTTTTAACTATCGATACCTTTTTCGGAACCCTACATGTCCATATTTAGACGGAACCGTTTAATCCATTGTCCATCCATGCGACGTGGAAATGCTTTGATTACAGCTTCCTCCCCTTTATTTATTTTTAAATTGTTCGTCCTAGCTTTATGGCATACGCGACAGATTTATATTGTTAAGTTGGTAAGTAGGCCGTTTTGTAATGCATTAAAACTAGGAAACTGGAGAATGAAATTCATGAAAGAAATAATATACGATGTATTTGCACTAATCTTAGTAATAGCATTATTAGGTACTAGCTTTCCGCCCGCGGCTTCGCCTGCGTGGAATTTTGTCTGTCACAGAAAAACAATATCGCGCGCGTATTTGCTCACCGTTTAGACCTACCCTGGACTACGACAATCATTTTAAAACCAAAATCAGCTCAATCGGCCCAGCCGTTCTCGAGTTTTAATCAGACTAACGAACATCAATTCATTTTTATTTATATAGATAGATAGATAGATAGATAGATAGATAGATAGATAGATAGATTAGGATGTAGAGACTTCTACCGTTATTTAGCTTGGTGACTTTTGTAACATACTAACGCCCATATTCACAAACGATGCTTGTTTAAGTGAAGCAGCAAATGGAACGCACAGCATTGAATAGAGCTTTGTGATTGGTACGTGTGTCACCCTGTGCGTCCACCTCCACACGCACTGTGAGACTTCATAGTAATGTTTGTAAATACGGGCGTTAATATGAAATCTGACATGATTAATTATTTTTCAAACATTATTTCGATGAATGTGGAGGATAGCACATCACTTAAGATGAATTAAAGTTAACTGACATTCATAAATATGAATTCGGAAATTAACATTCTCAATAAAGTTTAATGAAAATTTTGATTTCATGCACATACATAAAACAAAAAATAGCTTCCCGTTTGTTTCCTTTACTTTGATTTATTGAGGGTTCAGAGAGGAATAAATAATTCATTGACGGATCTCGATTCCATCTCGTACATTTATTCATGTACTACTACTGGAACCGTTTTGTAGGAGACATAGTATTTCTGAACGCATCATTAAAATAGTCAAATTATTCAACTAACGGTATTAGCAATACCTAGCATATAATAATAATAATAATAAATACTCTTTATTGTACACCACATAAAAAGAAACAGAAAGAAAAGGAACTCATAAGGTACAATTAGGCGGTCTTATCGCTATGAAGCGATCTCTTCCGGACAACCTATAGAGAGGACAGTTACTCATATCAACAAGTCTACAAAACTGTGTTTTTACGGTATATTTTAATCTTTAGGCAACTAACTGTAAAAACCATAAATATTTTTTAGGTTTTAATATAAAGTCTACATAATTACATTAAACGAGACAAGACCTTGAACTCAACGATTCGATTTTGAAATCTCAGATCAGTAAATAAAAACAACGATACCTCTCCGACTTTTAAATACAGCATCCAAAATACCAAAACACGTTTAGTATTTTACCTGTTAGTCAAAATAATGCGTCTAAAATGAACTACCCAATGTTACACTAGTGCTACACTAGACGGTTTTGTATCATCAGTGACACTTACTTGGCGTTCTTAGGGGTCGTGTCAGGTTGGCAGCAAGCCCGGTACCTCAGCACCGCATCGGTGGGACTCAGGGCGTCCATCTCGTCGGCCGGCGCATCGCACTCGTCCGTGACGAGCGGCGCGCGCGCCGGCGACGTATGCGACCCATACCCGTCGGAATTCAGCTGGAATACCAAATGTTATTGTAATTTCGAGCAAGAAATATCGACAAACAGACATCACTAGACGTGCAAAAGCTGGAGCCTCGATAGTTAAATTGAAGAGAGCCTTTCAGATATATGATGTTGAGCTGCAGAATGAGATTAGCGAATATAATAATACTAATAAACAGTTCTTTCTAGCAGTACATCGAAATTAAATTCCATTTACGTTGTCCAATCTACGTGATGCGATTGGATCGAATTGAATCAATGAAATTTTGAAGACTTTTATAATTAGTCAGTAATTTGACATTTGCAACAGGTACAAAGAATCTTCCAATCATCTTGCAGGTAAAATGGCATATTACTGACTTAACTTATCAAACAAAGTTTTGTACATGCAAGGAAGGAAGATAAGTTTTGCAGGGTCAGTCAAGCCAGTGATTATAGTGGATATCATTATAATAATAAAACTTTCGAAAGCGAAGCTCCACCTAGCAATGTCTGTTCACGAAAAATTAAAACACTAACACATAGTACGACAAAAATTTGAGTCATAAAATCTAAATAAGTAAGTCTACTAGTCTATCTCTAATACATCAAATCTATTCATTGCACATCTACCTCAAGCTCTAGAATGTTCCGTGAAGTGCATCTTACAAAACTTAAGGGATATGGAAAATGCAGAATTACGATGGAAAATCTATATCTAGCAAACTCTCACCCAGGACTTCAATCCTGGTGTCGGGGTCAATGCCTCAGACTAAAAATAGATTACAATACATAGTCATTATTCTGACAGTCAAAAAATAGGACTGTTTCACCTCTACATTATGTATACTTTACAGGAAAATACCAGTTTGGTAATATTTTTCTCTCTTACTAATCTTTTCTAAGTTAACTCGTATATTTAATTACACAAAGAACTACATAATAATGTCAAAGAATGCCACAATACAGGGTAATTGCCAAAGGTTTACTAGGTACAAAATTTTACTGATAATGTGCAATATTTCTTCTCTCATTCACATTCATTTATTAGGTTGATGCATTAGTCTCTAAAGCCTATAATATAATTTTAGATCTCCAAATAGGTACATTCTTTATTGGCGAGCTTTATCTCTACAAACTGAGGTGAAACAAGTCCAAATATTCAAAAACGCAATGACAAATGATTCTTACTTTGACGATAGTGCCGACCTGCGAATCCGCGAGGTCGCGCAGTGGTTCTCTTGGGTATGGCCCGTCTCGTAGATACGGCCCGTCTCGTGGGTCGGGCACCTCTCGCGGGTCCGACGGCCGCGGGTCAGCTCCTTCCACCGGCGCGCCCAGCAGTCGCTCCTTCATCTCGTGGATGTAGGGGCAACGCTGCATCGCGATGTAGAACTCGCGAACGCGCACCTGGAGATATAAAAATTAATCCTTTAATGTTTCATCATCATCTTCATTAGGTCATTTAGTTTCTATTGCAAGAGCATGACCCTCTCTAATTTATCAGAGGGAAATCGGGGATTCGCTCTATGCCAGGTTATAAACTCTACCTAAGTGAGTGAGTGGGATCCGTAGCAGTAAAATCAAAAGGCAATGGCAGGAGAGTTTTCAGTCTACTGATCTATGATGCAAAGGGCATATTAAATTAAAACTATATGGTTACGATGTACTCATATTTAGCTTGATGTGCCGTCATCCAAACAACCAGGAAAACCCAAACCCAATTTGTTCTGACCAAAAATACGCCGCAACACACGTCATGCGACCGCAGCCAATACCGATATGAAAATAATAGAGTCCCTTGTCAGTAAGGCAGTGGTCCCAAATAGGGGTGTTCATATATGGCACCTAGAAAGGACGTGTGTGGCATGACATAACAAAGGTTGAATGGACCCCCAAGGATTTCCGACCGAAATGACGCAAGCCCATAAAATACAAATACGAACCAAACAGCTACTACTAGATACTTGATTATTTGGCATTCCACATTCACAAATTTTTTGTCATTTCGTCACGTCGGCCGTTTGGTGTAGTGGTTCAGAACGGACTACTATGCCGAGAGGCCCCGGGTTCGATTCCCGGCCGGGCAGAAATTGAAATGATGAATTTTAATTTCTGTGACGGGTCTGGGTGTTTTCTATGTATAATATGTATGTATTTACAAAAAAAAAAGTATTTAAGTATGTTTATCCCGTCGTCTAGTACCCATAGTACAAGCTTTGCTTAGTTTGGGACTAGAGGCGCAGTGTAAAATGTCCAAGGATATATTTATTTATTATTTATTTATTTATTATTATTTTGTATCCATAAACTAGCTGTTTTTGTCTAATATAGTTTTTACAACACCCACCTCTAGTAATAGTCCACTCATTTGGTAGTTTTACTTGGAAAGTTTTCCGGAAGTAATGAAAATTGGTATCTATAGTATAGATTTCGATGTGCTTTTTACCAATTTCAACTTTGCGACCTCTTATCGTCGCTGCGGGCGCCACCATATTGAAAAAATTATGCCTAGTAGCAGTTTTTTTTTTTTTTTTTTCAATTAATACCTACCTTCCGGATTTAACGACTTTACTCCTCCTCCTTTTATTGTATTCCTAATTGACATAGGCTATATCTATGATAGACCAAAATCATCTGTGGTGGACGTTTAGTCAAAGCTGTCAGATAAATAATCGCGATTCTAAAGCTAGATAGGGATTGTCTAAGTAATAAAACAAACAATATGTGTGTGCTATTGCCCCCCTTTCTTTTATCAGACACATTCTAGGACGATATTGGCATTCGTAGATGGTGTTTGCATTGAATGACTCCGGCGCAGCCGTCAATGTCAATAGCGAATAGCGAGGCGGCTGCCAAACGAGTTCTCGCTAACAGACTGTAGAAACGCCAATGTTGATGATATCTACAAAAGTAACTAACTACGAAGAAAGCTCCTAATGCCATATGAAAAATGTTGTATTCAATAAACTTCGATGAGCTTCAAAAATATTGAAAATAATGTTTAATATTCCTAGATTTTGATATCGATGAAGTCAGTTAATTAGCTTAACATCTACGTTCCATCGAAGTCCTAGTGTATTCATTCTCACATTTGAGTAACAGTAAAACATTATTATTTTAGGAACCCAACTTACTAACCTAACCATGAGCTTTTAAAACTTGCGTTATTTTCTGTGAGGGCTGTGAGAATGAATGATACTTTTTTTCATGTTATTCGTAGGTACTCGTATGTACATGTAGAACTATGTACTCGTAGGTTGGCAATAGGTTGATAATGTAGGATTATAAGCAAGGACTTTGCACACACAATTCCTTCCCATAAATACCTAGATACAACTAAAAGCTGGTTCGTAAATTGAAGCAAATTGCGAGGAAAACAGCCGTAGAAACAAATATTAGATTTTATCCGATTGGCTGTACAAATCCGCGCCCGCGTTCCGTAGCTTTCAGAGAAATAACGTTACAAAACGGATTGACACAAAATCAAGATACGAATATTCACTCACTCAATTTTAGGAACACAGAGGAATCCAATAATGCTAGAGGTAAGTGGTGGAAAAAATGTGACTTACTTAAGGTTCTGCATTAGGTTCTGCAGAATATTCGAAAAGCTCAATATTCTTTGTTTCTCTGTGTATTTTCATTGAATACAGATAACATTTTGGAGATTCAATGAGCAAATGGAGTGTTTTTGTTTTAAATCCTAAGTTGTAGGTAATTAAAAATGTTCATATTTATTTCAGAACTTTTGATAAAATAATTTTACTTTTCTAATAAAAGAATCTCATAATCGAGATAGATACTCGTAAGAGGAAGAAGAAAGAAAACTTACATGCCTACAAGCACGTACCAACATTAAAAGATTTCCCTTCCTCTAATCTTGCGAAAATTTGTGTAACCTTTGTTTATTACCAAATTAAGGCCTTACCTGATTCCCCAAAACGAATCCAGGTGCGCTTATTGTTTTGAGAAGCCCGAGCGGTATCAATTCTTAATGGCCTTGACCCACTTGGAAAGATTCACGAGCCTTGCTTTTGTATGGAGAACACAGACGGCACATCAAGCTTATCACTGTGGGGTCTTATGCAGTTGTAATAGAGACTATTTAACAACGAAAATGTATAGTTTGATGTGCTCTTTACTTTAATGTATGTATACCACTGGTTTTGCGGCGGGTAGTATTTAATGTTGTGGAAAGGTTGTTTTGTAGAACGTTAAAATGTTTTGGAGAACAAGTTGCTCTTGTAATTTCTTAAGTTTTTAAATGGCGATCCAAGCCAAGGTTAATAGGTATTTAACATTAAAAAAGAACTGTTAAGACCAATTATATGGATTTTTTAAAATTATAGGGAAATCTAAGGAAACGGTATTTATCAACATCAGTGTTGTTGCTCCGGATGCTTGTCAAGAAATAGAAATTTAAAGGAAAATCTACATGATTTATGTTAATATTTATGTTTTGAATAGTAATTAGCCTATAAAAAAACATTTGCACTTTCCCTTGCCATGCAATTATGCTACAGTAACCTCTATGATCTAGATTTAAAGCTTAAATTTCCCTTCTTTGGATATTACTCCGTAAAATTGAGGTTACCAGTCAGTTGTCCAGCTATGGGAATTTATTCCAAGTTCGCCTTACTCCGGAAAGCCACTGGAAGCAGAACGTTTTTTGCAAAGTGAAACGTATTTATTATGGGGAGGAGAAAATACTAGCTCTCCCGTCCGGCTCTATGTGGGTAGCCTGCCCATAACTGGCCGATTCACTGTCACAGATGCATTGAGAGTAAAAAGAGGACCATACTCGTACAATGTAGTCACCATTTTTTTTTCTTGAAAGTTGGAGCGCCATGTGGAAGCAATCTTTGGTTTATATCAGCCATTATTTGTTAATACTCGTATATTTCATTGAGAAAACTTGCTGAACAATCCAATAAACAATATGTAAAGTGCAGGTAGGCAAGTTACCCAAGACAGTAAGTACGTAGGCTCTACAATGGGTATGCCAATTTTAATCTCAAACTTTGTACAAAAAAAGCCTAAATAGAAACATCAATTGAGTTCTATATACACATTACAACAAGCGATTACTGAAGTTGATCAATTCCACTAAGTACACAATTCTGAAAAGGCTAAACAAAAGAAAATTGCATCTACTTTAAAAGTTTTCCTGCTAATTGGTAACTGGCAAGCAACAACTTAACTACTGTAGTGAGGACAACAATCGATTCAACTGAATGGGGGCATCGGGTCACTGACTCGACGTGCAATATAATACAGCATTTGCGCTGACTGGTTGAATGCAAACTGACATCCATCATCGCTGAAATGCGATCTTTGTGAATTTAAAACAAAAGATGCACGCGGCTGCCAATATCGTTGTTAAAGTTAAACTTAAGGATGGTTAATGTGTTTTCAGCTTTTAGTTTGCAATAAATTAGCATTTCTTAGTCAATCATCACCTGTAACTAAATACTTGTTTGGTGTTTAGTAATTACTTTAAATATTACATCGCATTAAAGGCATGGTTACTTATTCCATTCAAACTTTGGTACTTACTCGTATAGCTACTTTATTATCTAAATAAACATACATTTTCTGCAAACTGAATATCGGGCTCCGATTTTAGTTAAATTTGGCAAAAGTAGAGTTAAATTAAGACTGGGAAATTTTTATCTCGGTTATTGAAAGGGGAACGCACGTGCGATAGCCGATAGTCCTTACAAAGCTAGTATCTAATAGGTAGTTATGGCTGTAATTGAATATAATACATTAAATAACTGTCTAATATGATTTATCTTGTTAGAAAATTGGAAAATTATTACCCTTTGACAAAGCTTGATTAAGTTTAAGCTACCGCAAACAAATCCTGGCCTTGCGAATCCGGCAGATCGTGTTAATTAAACAACAGCCGCGATGTCTGAAATTGACGTCTGTTTTCATTAATTAATCACCACAATTAACGGATGTTTCAATGAGTATTTAATTTTTGAAGGCCGGGAGTTTCAGCATTCGATTTTTCAGGTTTGTTACCTAATCCCAGGAAAAAGGTTTCCATACGTGCCAATTGATTGCTCTTTTTTATGATTTTTGGTACTTCCTGAGTCTATCATAATTGGTTTATGAGTCCAGAGATGTACACAGAAATCATAATTGGCTATTCGTCCGTCTTCATAAAAAAATTCCCATTTTATAATAATGGGTTATAACTTAAGAGTCTTAACATCATAGGCGTCTAGAATGGCACCATTAGTGTTAAAGCTCAGAATTTCATACATACATTATATTATGTGTGTCCCTCAAGTGTATCGAATCCACGACTTCAGACTTCGGAGTAAAGAAGAAAGCCCGCTCTGTAATTACTGGACCATGGAGGCAGTATATTAAACCTTTATAATCAGAGGTATTAA